AAATATGTCAAGTTTTAAAATTACAAATGGCAGCCCTTTTAGGCTGCTCGAAAATGATTGAAATGTTTGAGTTTTTAAAATTGGTCTCCATATTCTGAAAGTGCATGATTTAATGCATCCTTGCTAAATATGAGACTCTTATAGTGTCTTTTATAGCGGATATACAAGCGATTTTATCGTGACTACATACGAACGCTTGTAAATTTGGTCGCGTTCTTTTCGTTATGAATGAGCCCAAATTACAAAGCGTTTCAGTGGTAAGCCGACCATAAAATCGCTTGTATCTCCGCTATAAAAAAGTATTTTTGTGAGTCTATAAGATAAATATGTTATAGCTTGGCTAATATTTCACAGTCAGTTATTTTTAATACACTATTCACAGCAACTTATTGCGTTCACATTGATGAAATAGATACTTTTATGATGTAAGGGTCGTCTATCATTCGACCTTTGATAGAAAGATAAATTGGAATATCACGTACACCAATATGTACGTCTTTTTTAAATCTACTAACAGAAATGGCTTCTCTTTATCTCCAGAATGCAAGTAAATTTTTATTTGCTAAATTCTGTGTCTGTCCTCAATTAACCCATTAACGAGGGGCTTTCGACGTATCATTAATTGAATGTTAGTACACAACCCACATTGATCTCCATTGATATCATGCATCATGATACAAACGTCCGAAGAAAAGTCATTAATGTTTTCCTTTTTGTTTTGTCACCTCCAATTATAGAAATATATTCAAAAAAACATTGTTGAGTGACTTTGTGAAGAAATGGCGTGATTCTGTTCATTTAAATTGATTTTCATTTAAAAGCGCGTAACTCGATACAACTAACATACATTAGTTGCATCGAGTTACGCTCTAGGCGCGTAACTCGAAGAAACTAATGTATGTTAGTTGCATCGAGTTATGCGCTGGGCGTGGCCGAGGCAAATGTGGGCGTGGTCGAGCGCGTAACTCGAAAAGCGCGTAACTCGAAGCGCGTAACTCGAAGCGCGTAACTCGAAGCGCGTAACTCGAAGATTACCCGCCCTCAATTAGACCCTGCCTTAAATCTAATAAGTAGCTAAGAAATCCTAAATACTATATGAAACAAAATGACTAAGCAAATAGAGTAAATTGCTAGTAACTCCTAGTAGTTTAAAATAGTATTACATGCCACAAACTAATCTAGTTTAAGGCCTAAGAAACATGCCCTTGTGACAACTTGACAATGTTAAACTAAATCCAATTATCAAACAAGATTATTATCTGCTTGTTGATGTGACAGGAAATTACATCACATGAGTATTGCATGACTCAGGTTCTAATCCCAAGATATCGTGACAGTAACAAAATAAGCCCTTTTGACTAAATCATATCTTAGATTTGCAGTAAAACAGTTTTAACTACAAAACAAATGCTTAATTATGTAATCCAAAAATTACTGACATTGGTCACGAAAGTGACCCTGTCACATAAACCCTGAAAAACTTTACTCATATCCCCTTCAAAACAACTAGAGATTATCAAACATATTCCAAGATCTGATAAGGGCCTACAGGAGCTAAGACGGCAAATACTGAGCTAGGGATTTCATTCACCTGAATTCAAGAAAAAATGGGACATTTTCTTACTTCTTGTTAAAGTTGTGAATAAGAATTTTTTTTTAACTCCAAAGCTACTTCCGGTATATGTCAAAAACACGCGTGACGAAATGATTTCGTCATACATGTTATGTTTTTGACATATACCGGAAGTGGCTTTGGAGTTAAAAGATAATACCATTTCGCATTGACGTTAAGAAAATCTTGGCATTTTCTAAAGATCCTGAATCCTGTTTTGAAGGTTCTGAAGCATGATTCCCCACATAGTTAACTATGCTCACCATAACCCTTCCTAATTCTCTTCCCAGCCCAACTCCTATCATATATAAACAATGAATGGTATTATATTTTAAAATTCTTTTGTTATGAGCTGCATTTTATTATGAACTGCTCATTCTAGCCGACCATTTTTTACACACTACACCACTGTGCATTGAACTATTTTAGTTAAAGCACTAAAATATTTTTTTAGGTCAGCATTATTAAAAAGACGAACCTCCCATTTGTAAGGCAGCTTACGGGCCTGACTTCTCTGTAAATCATTTTTTAAATATTTCAAAAACGAATGCGAATATTTCAACTCCTACGGATTGCTTTTCTTTGTTTTTAAGTCGGTAATCACTCATGCATTTCACACGGAAACCGCAATATGGTCTGTAAACGGCTGTCACACTCGTCACGCGAATTTCACCTGCTAAAGACTCCCAGGTATGAAAGGTTTTACAAATATGTGAAATATTCTGCAAGGAAGTCTTTGACCACGTGAACGTGAATCGTTACAGAGTATTTTCAATAAATAATATTTTGCTAAAAAAATGACGTGGCGTTTTTTATAATTCGCCACTAGGTGTATTTTGCAAGCAGGAGTTTGCACAGGCAGTACTTATTTGCCCATCAAAGCTGAACCTTCACTGGTATTCTGAGTTTATTTAGATTCCTCAGTTGTTTTCACAAGGAAAAGCCAGCATGTTCGCTTTTTCTTGACAAGATAAAATTGTCAAGGACGAAATTTGCTCGTGTAAAAGTACAACAAGGAAAATGTAGCAAAGAAAATTGTCAAGGAAAACTTGTTGACCATTCACACGGGCAATTTTTCCTTGTCAAGGTAAACTTGTTCTTCGTTTACACTAGCAAAGAAATTGTCAAGGAAGAATTGTCGAGGAAAACTTGTTGACCATTTAAACGGGCAATTTTTCCTTGTCAAGAAACTTGTCAAGGAAAAATTGCTCGTGTAAACGGCGCTTTAGTCGTTTTGTCTATTCCCAAACTAGCCACACCCTAGTTCAATTGCTTCATGTCACGTATCCAAGTCGGTTATTTTATACATATAAGCTATCTAAATTGCTTTCAATATCGATTTATTTCAAACAAACATACAACATTCACTAAATTCAGGGTTTTTTTAGTTAACCTCAATAGTTTTCAGTTAGTGACTATTAGTTGCTATCATTCCACTGGAACAGTTATAATGAGGTATTGCTTCATGTGTTGATTCTCAGCAAGTGTACACAGGATGTATTGTTAATAAAACTGTTCCAGTTTATTCTATTTCATGGGCATTGTGTGTAAGCAGTCTACCATTGAAACAATGAAAAAGTGTTTTGCTAATAAACGCACTTTTTCTAATTTTATGCTTTACCATACGAGCCGTGTACATAATGGTTCTAACGTTAGGAAGAGGCTCTTCCTAACGTTAGAACCATTATGTACACGGCTCGTATGGTAAAGCATAAAATTAGAAATTTGTGCTTGTTTTTGAAGCGCAACTGAATCTAAACAAGATCATTGTTATGCCTTGATCAGAGCACAAATTGTTCGAAGAATGTTTCGTTCCTGTTTTCAACTATTTCTGATGTAGTAACTTCATCAACCGCACCCTTGATAATGCTAACAAACAAACAAATACCAAAACGTTATATCTTAAGTTTGAATTTTATTTTAGTTTCATCATGTGAACGCCTCGCCCAGTTGTTTTTTTCTCGCAATATTTAGCGTATAAAAACTGATCATGTTCGAGCTTTTATCCACATCGGAGAAAACACTTGTTGTCGATACAACATTAGGAGATAAAAAGAAGTCCTATAGCCAAACGCCATGAAAAAGGTAAGTTATCAGTTATGAAATTGTTTGCGGTCAACTTATGTCAAAGTCCTGCAGTACATAGCCTTTGTAAAATTTAATTTAGACAGTGCCTCTGCTCATAAGATAATTTAAAGTTAGATTGTCTTCATTAGAAGCGCTTTACAAGTCAACAGTTTGCAGAATGCTTTTGTCATAAAAGTACGACGTAGTAGAAAATTGCAGTTTTTTTTTTTTTTTTGGCTTGCAAATTGTGTGGATGGGATTGCTTGCAGCAATGCCATCACGAATCAAGGTTTTGTTCGTCGGAAGAACGTTCCCTTTTGATTGGCATTGCTACAGGTTTAGACGTAGGAGCTAGCCATGCCGTCCGACCTCGATCCATGGTGACCCCAAGCGAAGGGTCCGAAGGGAACGTGGTTGGCCACCGTCTACACGTAAAGTTAATTTCGCGATATTATAGTTTGTCCGACACCTAATTTCCACTTTTAACACACTATTCTCTTTTTCTTTAAGTATTTCATCATCTCTATCGCCTTGTTCCTGATTGCCGCAGTGGTCTGCAAACCAACCAAACCAACCTTGAAATCTCGAGCCATCAATGTGAACTTCTCTGCCATTAAGAAACTAGGTGGAGCGAAGTGGACATTGCGCAGTAGAAACAACTGGTACTTACAAATAGCCATGAATGGCGATGTCAGTGGAACTTCAAACTGTTCTTTACCAACAGGTAAGACTATAGCTTTGTGCATAAGTGGGTGATATAGAGTGGCGAATAAAGCTTTGATCTATTTTGGAATCCAGCAGCTACATGTACGAGAGGAGAGGAACAGACTTTAAATTTCCCGCATCCCATAGGTTTCTTTACCTTTTCTTCTTCATCCCTTACTAGGTATTTCTGGGCATTTTCTCTGAATATTGATGTTTCTGGCTCTCCCGCTCGCTCTATTTTAAGTAGTAATTTCTACCTCATCACGGAGGTTTTTGAGGTGTTTCTTCCTTTCTCGTTCTCAGTCTCCCTCCACCCTCAACATACACTTCGTTCACAGCGAAGCATACTGAATATCGTCTATTCTTTGTAGTTAAAATGGAGATGTTTTCAGCCGGTCTAGCCGGCGTCAAGTTGATAAAGGGTATTGCAAGTAATCGGTTCTTAGCTATGGACAAGTACGGCGCCATCTACTCCACGGTAAGATTTTAATAGTGTACGGTAAAGATAAAGACAATGTTTCTATAAAGCTTTATTTTTTTCTATTTACATAGAAAACAAAGGGAAAAGAGACTTTGTTCTTTGAAAAGCTGGTAACAGGAAGCGGTGGTTACTCAACATTTGCATCGTACAAGTTCTATCAACAAACGTTTTACGATACGTTGGTAGCCGTGAACCGAAATGGTAGGATGCGAGTTTCTACCAACAGGAGTAAAAACGGAGTCCAATTCTCGGTTCTACGTCCTTCTAGTTTGGGATGTTAAACGTTGACATTTTCCTCATAGTTGTTGACAATAAAGTTCATCAAGGGAAATTGTACAAGCTGTTGTTGCCTATGTTTGTGTCATTGAAAATAGAAATGTAGGATATGAAGCCTGGAAATGAGAAATGGGTCTAGTTGCTGCCTTGAAAAACTGGGTACAACCTCTCCTCAGCCCCCACCCCTACTTCTCGCTGCTCTTGCTCTTCTCTCCCCGACTACCCTATAGCGCATTTCAATCTCTTCGTACTGCTTCAAATACACAAGGTATATTGATGATGCATGGAACTTTATCATTAGTATAATTATTGAGTGTGTTGAGAACTATGAACTTAAGAGAACCTCAACTAATTTAGGTCGCGTCCACAGATGAAGGAACTTTTTGCATCCGTTTCTCTTCATATTTCAGCCAAATTGGGTTTACCTCGGTGTAAAGACCTCACGACTGACGTCACACGGATACTGGATACGTGGTACTGATTGATACTTGTTTCTCTGAAGGCCCGTTTACACGACTTTTTGCAGCGCGATAATCGCCAATTGGCTAGCGCGCAACTCAAATCGTACGTGAGATTGTTGCGACGATGAAAAATCACCGCGAAGTTGCAGCCAATTTTCAAGCTTGCTCGAAACTCAGGCGATGGTTGCGCGACGATCGCCGCGAGAATCGCTCTGCAATCGCAAGTGTAAACGGACCTTGAGGAGTCGGATATACGCAAGGCTGATTAATACTCCTGAGCCTTTTTACGTGTTTACATAGCCTGATGCAAACACGAAGGTATAGGCTCGGGGAATTCGAGTAAAGGCTATCCTTTTATAAATATCTTTTTTTGCTAAAATATCTTTAGAAACTTTATTTTTTACATACTGTCATGCAAACATTAGGAAACTTTGAAAAGCTCAGGAATATTAATAAGGTGGAGTATCCGCGTATCCGATCCAGTATTCCAATAATTAAATTAGAAGAGCTTCGTTTTGTGACGATAGTCGTGAGGTTTGAGTTGTACACTTCGGGTCTCGTCCATGTTTCCAGTCGTATCCTTGAACTTACAGTGGATATCCCAGAAAACGTCCCGAATGCGGGCATGTGTTAACGCGAAGTTTTTGGTATCCGCTACAAAAAAGATATAAAATTTTCCTAATGGTTTGGGCTCACGACGTTGTTCAGTTGCTTGTTTATCATTGGTCAGATTGCTTTACAGGTAAACGGATGGTGGCCAATTGTTCTAACCAATTAATAACTACAGGTGATTGTTCATTAGCCGTTCTGTGGTTTCTCTATAGACTAAAGAAAAAGTTCTCCACTGCTGATTGCTGCTATCTTGAAGCATCTCATTGAGAAGCTTTGAGATCTCGACCTCGCGTTAAGACGAAATATGGCGAGTTCTTTGCACGGGTTTGATAGCCACGGTGATAATTGGCAAACAACCAAGAGGTCTATTCGAGAACGATGCCAGTTTATGTTCAACAATAAGCTCTTAAGCGATATTACTTTTGTCATTGGGAAAAACGGAGAAAAGAAAAGGATTTGGGCTCATAAATTGTTGCTGGCTATCAGCAGTCCAGTACTTCATGCCATGTTCTATGGTTCTATGGCAGAACAAGGTCTAGAAGTGGAACTATCCGACTGTGAATACGAGACATTTTTAGAACTCTTAAGCTACATATACTTTGACGAAGTAGAAATTAACGAATCAAATGTTCTTGGTATTCTATATCTTGCAAAGAAGTACATATTACCGTTCCTTGCGGAGAAATGCTTAGACTTTTTAGAGCAAAATATTGACAATCAAAACGCTTTCACCCTTCTGTCACAAGCCCGACATTACAATGAAGAAAATCTCGAAGAAAAGTGTTGGGAAATAATCGAGCGCGAAACAGCTCAGGCGATTTCTTCGGATGATTTTTTGGAGATCAATCATGGTGTGATTACGGCTTTGCTTTCTAGAGAAACTCTAACAGTAGAGGAGGTGGATTTATTCAAGGCGGTAAAGAAATGGTCAGAAAAGGAATGCATACGAATGAATCTACCTCCTCTTCCTGAAAATATCCGAAAGGTCCTCTCAGTAGCGCTGTACCTGGTTCGCTTTCCAGTAATGACACTGGAGGAGTTTGCATCCGATGCTGCCGTGTCGGGCATTCTCACGCAGGATGAAACAATTGCTGTATTTCTTTATCACGGATCCAAAGGCACAAAAAAGATTGCCAAATTTCCCTGCGAACCAAGAAGAGGAATACATAAGGTCTACAGATGCAGAAGATTTCGTTCTCACTGCTCCGACTGGCAATGCGATGGAACTAATGTTGACAGCATTCGATTTTCTGTAGACAGTGACATTCTAGTAACTGGTGTTGGTCTTTATGGGATTTCCAAGCCCGATGATACCGATGTACCATTCAACGTTGATGTCGAGTTATTAGACTCTCATAATGATTCCCTGGCTACATATGAAGGAACTTATTTCGTTGATGGTTCAAATGATATTCACGACGTTCATTTTGAGATGCCAGTTGCCATTGAGGCACATGAGTCGTATATCATACGTGCACTTATCAAAGGTCCTCTCTCCCTTAGAGGTAACGAGGGAATGAGAGAGCTTCGTTGCGAACGATCAGGCGTTCGGTTTTGGTTTGATGTCGACGAAGCAAGTTTTAATGGGACTACAACATGTGACGGGCAAATCCCGGAAATAATTTTCAAAATTCCGTATAAAAATGAATGAACTATGTTTTTAGTTGAATCAACTTATTATGACTGGAATAAAACTTCTGTACAACCAATACTTAGTAAAACTCCAACTTCAATGATGTTTCGTATAGTACTTCAACCCACTCGACAATCACCGGAGGCCCATCAGATCGAGTATTTACATCATTTATTGCACAAATTATGATGAGAATTCCACTAAAAATATAAATATATCTGCTATTAAATAAGTATATGTTGCATGTGTATCTGACATTATTAACTATTCTGTCATAATGCTATGTGCGATGCAAAGGCCTTTTAGTCATATCTGAAATAACAGAAAATAGAAAAGGTGTTGGTTCTCGCCCCTATCCACGCTCATTTGATAATATACTGATACTAACTACTATAAAGGGTGCAAAAATCAGCGAGAGATTAAAAGGAACTGTCGACCAATCAGTAGCCTGCGTGTAGCCGAAACAAAACTGTAGTTCTTATGTTTCGAACATATCAACAGTTTTGGCTTGGCTACACGCAGGCTTCCAATCCGAGTTGATCCACGTAAGAGCCAATCAGAAATCGCACAATATATCGGGCTAAATACAGTGAACGCATGTCGAGCGCTATTTCGCAGACGTATTTTTGGGATAAATTGTCATGTCCTCAGGCTGATGTTGTTTTTTTAACTTTCTTATATCTTAATGAAGACACTTACTTAAAAATTGTAGAATGTTGGTCTTTTCTCGGCTGCTGTGGTGGTTGAATTGTAGCCATGACTTTTCTGGCGTATTCAGTCTGATGAAGGCCAGCATCCCGAAGAGCTTGTTCAACTCTTAATCTAGGATCACTTGCTACCTTTTTTTCAACATAACATAAGAGTGGATTGAACACATTATTCATAGCTATAAGGAGCAGTCGGTTTGGATCAAGTTAAAAAATCTCCAAGAGGTTTTTTGACTATGTTAAAACATCTCAAATCAAACTACAGCGCTTCCTACGCTGTATCTCACATGTGTCGAATTCAATGCAAATTATTCCATTATTTCTAATTTCCATTTAATTCGACAAGGCTGGTACTTGCAGAGAAGACTAGAACCTTGCACAGGACAAACAACAAAGCAAGCCCGCCTTAAAATAAGGCTTGAAAACATACCTTTTTGTCCTTATATCCATGTACAGTAAATAAAGGTTGCTGCAACTCTAATTCTTCGTCATACGCACTTGCAAATCTGGCTTGTGTCGCCTAGAAAATATCTCATAACTAAGACAAAATATTCGCCTACAAGTTGGTCCAGGGCGACCAATCATATTTTTTTTCCTTTTTCAAGAAAAAACGCATAATGGTACAATAATGTGCTAGGAATAAATACATTACGAGTGCACTGTACCTGTGTCGGCTTAAAAACTCGTTCAGGGTCGATATCTACATGAACTTCCACCTACAATAAAAATGAAAAAATCAACTTTTAAAAGTCAGCAATTGGAGCTGGTACCTCATCGTTCAAAAGCACTAGCATTTGTACAAACCTGTTCTCTAAGTTTGGCAAGCCGTCTTTCTTTTTCTTGCTCCGCCTGTAGTACTTCTACTGCTGTTTGCTTTTTCAATTCCTCTTTTTCTTTTTGCTTTTCCTTTCTGAATTCAACTCTGAAAATGAATGCGCAAAATTACCATTGAATTATGAACTAAATGAATGTTTATCTGAACAACGCTTGTGCACGCGTCTGTCCTCGAAGTTCACACAGATTAGTACCTTTCTCTATCCAACAGTGCTTGTTCTGCCATTCTTGCTTCCAGCTCCTCGAGTCTAAGTTTCTCCCTCGTAGCAGCTTCTTCTCTTTCTTTGACTTTTTGCTCTTCAAAAACTTTGACCTAAAGTTGACATAAAATTCAGTGCGCTTGATTTAAATTACGGTCATGTGTATCTTAACAAGTGAACATTGTAAATGGAAGCATGTGAATTTTGTTTACTCACTTTTTCTTTGATTTTTTCTCTGCGATGTTTTTCCTTTAACTGAGCTGCTTTTAGCTGCTCTTTCTCTTTTTCAGCCTGTCTTGCAGTGATCGCAGCCTGTAGCTGAAGAGCCTCTAGCTTTTGTTCTCTGAATGCAAGAACCTTAATCATACAATGAAAATGAATGGATGAATAAATGGAAATAGAAATTCATTCATAGCTATTTGGCTGTATAACCTTACCTTAGCATACAATTCATGGCATATTTTTTCTTGCTGTTGCTTGACAAGTTTCTTTTGTAAGTGTTCTTCATGAGCATCCCATGCATCAGAGAAAATGGCTTCTATTTTAGCAAGAAGATCTTTACGATCTCTAGACCATGCTTGTAAAACACTATGTCGCTGGTTTTGATATGACTTGTGTAAGAGACACCAGTTCTCATGCTCAACCTTGAAAATATAAAATAACAGACATGAAAACATTTTAAAAAAGCCTATTATTACTTATAATACTTTTACATAATGTACTAATACAAATACATGACTTCCACGCAGGATGTCAAAACGTACCTATAGAGGTCATTCTCACACCCATACAATCATACTATGTCTACACAGTGCTATAATATGAATGTAGATGCATTGATCAATAGCTGTATGTCTACTATTTAATTCCTACYAATTGGTTTCTTCCTTTGTGTGGTAGCTCCCTCAACATTCTGTCAATATACAGAGTTCGTCTGTTAGGCATTTCAGCAGGGTACTGTTCCATTAAACAAGCGAAATGAAAGTGATCCTGTTTAGACCAGTTGCCATATGGACAGCTGAAACACAAACATATCTGTCCTACATACCGACTAATTGAAAAACCGTAGTCGTGTTCAAAAAGGTCACATCATAGAAGCTAAGACCGAAAGGGATTTTGAGTACCACTAAATTGGGATTACATTTGCATATACGGTGTATACTAAGCAAGTAGAGCTAGTAAGATTAACAGCATGATAGTCTTTTATGCTGGAGAGTTGTTTATTATGAAATTAGCCAAATTGTTTGTCTTCCCAATTACCCTTTCGGTCTTAGCTTCTGTAATTTGACCTTTTTGGACCTGACAAAGTTTCTTCAATTAGGTGTATATCAAGATATAGTATGAAAAACAAAGTTATCCTTCCTACTTTCCATCAACAATTTCATGAATATTCAATTCATCAGGCAATCAGTCATTAAGCCAATCAATCAGACAAGGAAGACATTACTATAAGGTTTGTCCTGAAGCAACTTACCAGACAACATCATCGTATTTGACATTTAAGTACTCTAAGTGAGCTTCATATTTTCTATCTAAAAGATTAAATTCCTCCAGAACTGACTCTTTCAGTGCCTCATCAGGGCAATCAAGCTCTTGAGCTTCCAAAGGGATCCCAGTCTTAAAAGTGTTCACTTCTGCTAGAGATGGTATTACAATCATTTGATGGGAAGAAAATCCTTCAAGCTCTTCCTCAAGATGATTCTGCTCAAGCTTGAGTTTATCAATCACAGACTTCTGTTGTGATTTTACTGAAGAAACAACTTCTAAAACATCTGAATGCTCTTTGTGAACATCACCTGAAAAAAAGATATATTTTCAATTTTCAGGAATATAACAGTCTTGCAGCATAATGCCATAATCCCCTGGAGAGTTACATGTAGTTGACAACAAAGAAATGRCAGCTTATTTGTTGTATTATTTTTATCTACTACTGCAACTTCAGCAGCCTGGGGATAGACTTTACTGGTAATGAATGCAAACAATCAATTCATTAGGTGACATAAAATCCATTCAAAAACCATCTAAAAAATATATATCAAAATATAATATACGTGCTAAGCTCTATTGTTCATTTAAAGTTTGATTAAATTAAAGACTAGTWCAAACAAAACAAACCATAAAGTGTACACCATTATTTTGCAAATCAATGTGTTGTTTGGCTAATCTTTTTAATGAATAATTAATCTATTAAACATCTGATTGTACAGTTTATTTCAACTAAAGTTAAACATATTGATTCAGGTGGTCAAGTTACATGTAGCATACCCATCAGAAGTCTTTCTCTGTTTTCACCCAGCCAAAACTGTAAATCTTCTCTAAGGTCCCATATTGGATCAACAGTGCATTTCTTAAACTCATTCATCTCTTCATCCAATATCCCTTCATAAATTTCCAAATCGTGAAAGAATTCTTTAAGACTGGTATGATTCAATGGGCTGCCAGGTCTTAAGCCATCAATTTCAGTTTGAAGCTTCTTCATCATGGAATTAAGTCTAATTTGCTCCTTAAACCAGCATGATTTGTGTTGCTGCATCAAGTTTTGTTCCTTGGAGATTTTTCTTGCTTCACTTATCTTTTCAATTTTTTGTAAAGCTCTGTCTCCTGCAGCTCTTTTGACTTGAGTAAGAGCTTGTAGTTTACTATAATCAATAGGTTTATATTGTTTGCTTGCGTGGCCATCTGCAAGTCTTGTTACTAGGGTATTGTCTATAAAAATGAAAGTGTAGAGGTTTTAAATAAGTCTTAGCAGCTTCAGTAATAAAATTGAGCGAAGAAATTCAAATATAATAGTAAAGGGATACAATCAAAGGAATGAGATATTATCACTCTGAATGAGAGAGGTTCATGGAAAAGAATAACTTAACTTTAAAATACCTATCCCAAAATCGTTGTCATGACAGTACAAACATGCTCCGGTTGAAATCAGCTTACCTGAAGCACCAATTGCAGTTCGATGATAATTCACAAATTTCTTGAGATCTCTACCACTCATAGTATGTATTTCAGTAGAGAAGTGCTAATATATGGTAAAATAACGAGGAATGTTTTCGCCTTCTTTTTTGTTATGATCCGCCATCTTGAATGATAACTCAATGCACCAGGCTCTCTGTTTTACTCTTTCTCGAATTGCAAAGGAACCCCAGGATTGTGCAGTTTGGGCTTCCTGTATAAGTATCAAAGATGGCGTCTGGAAAGAGTCGCAAGTCTTCAAAACGGCCTTCTTCTGGTAGTCCTTCTAGTTCATCGCCTTTCGCTTCCAAAAAGAAAAGACCTATGACAGTAAGTGTGGCTTTTCTCTAATGAATTTAACTTTGAAACACTTATAATGTCGAAAATATTGAACGAAAAATATTTAATGAAGGGAACGATATTTTTTGTAGCCATTGATTGCTGATGATGTAGATTCTCCTTCAAGCAGTCCAGCATCTTTTACAACAAGTAGTGATTTAAACACAGGGAATTCAACTATAGTATTTAAAGATCCAAACTTTGAGGTATTGTTCAAATTAGTGCAGATAACATAAGAGACATGTAGTTAATAAAATCAATTTTACCTTTTGTTTAGCATTCTGGTGCTGCTAATACAAAACGGAAAGGATGGAAGAATTTAAAGCAAATCTTGACAATCGAAAGAGGATTACCATGGAAACAGGATGATCCAACTTGTGAGTTGATTATTGCATTTTAATAATCTTTATGTTCATTTCTTTCTTTGAAACTTTCTTATTTTCACAATCTTTCAGCAAAGAAAGTAGTCTCCATCTATTTTTCTGTACTTGCAAATTGACTGTATTTTGTCATTCATGTTTAGATGGAAGTATTGATGCCCCACCAGCATTCAAACCAGCTAAAAAATATTCTGATTTATCAGGATTTCCAGTAAGTCTTAAATGATTATCTCGTTGGCTAATATTTGACTGAATGTTTATATGATTAATAACATGAATAAAAACAACTTTTCTTGTTTCCAGGCAAAATACAAAGACCCAAGAACTGGAATACGATATAGCGATGCTTCAGAGTTTTCAACTATACGTAACCTACCATCTGATATAGTGACAGGATATTTAGCAATTAGAAAAGCTGCACCTTTATGATGCATGCTTACTTTATTCTTGTATAGATATTACTGTAGCTAATCCATTTTGTACATATATATCTGTTTCAACATTCTAACATCCTTGAATGAAAGAAAACAAAACATTTTTAGATCAAACCATTTAATAACATCATAGAAAAAAGCTATATCATATATTTGTGGGAGAAGACAGGGAAATATATAGGAGTTTCGTGAAGGAGTGTATCAGCTTTGGATTCTTATCAAACAAGACCTTGTGCTAAACACATTGGATCTCCTACTGATTTAGCAATTCAAGTCTCATGTTTCAATTTTTATTGCCAAGAAAGGAGATTTCCAGAAGCTCTTAGCCTGCATTGCTGCTGGCAGCACTATATAGGCTAGTAATCCTTGGCAGCCTCTCCTGCGCATGTCTCACACTTTGTTTTGCTAGCATTACAACAACAACATTACATTACATTGAAAAGCCTACATGCATCCAAGAGTCTCTACATGATTTTATCACTTGCAAAAAAATTAACCATCTTTGATTTAAAACCAATAAGAAAACATCATTAAGCCGTGTTTAGTTTCGGTGTAATCACTAAACACAGCTGTGAGGAGACTAAAAACAGTGAGAAGTGATCAAAGGGCTCTTAGATTCACGTAGGCCTTGAAAACAAAGGACCTAACTTTTATAACAAGCCAGTATCTTAGGATACTAAATAAAATATTTCTATATAACACATTCATCAAGATTATGTTTTTTTCATTGATCAAATTAACAGATAGTACGTTCTTGTTCTGAATGTTTCTAATGAATTTAGATTTAGCAGCATGCCTGACCCTGGGGTGACCCTAGGATCCCCTGCCACCCCCTAGGGGCTCTATGTTCTCGCAACCAGTTCTTTCGTTCGCGGCCAATGCATTCAAAAATTAAAGATGGCGGACCTAAATAGACAATATGACACCTGGATTAATTTCTATAGCCAGTGATTTTTAATAACACTCGGTATGCTAATTGAATGTAAACAAGCTTTAAGGACCCTGGAGATCACTTCTATTTAAATAATTATAGTTTTAATTACATGAATTTACCACTAATTGTAATCGAAAACTCTTTGGAACTTGCGGCATTGACCCGTCAAAATATGGAAAGCAGTTTCTTACAAGATTCGAGTATTCAAGATCATGATTATTCGAAAGACCAAGAACTTTTTACTAGAGATGCACTTGGTACAATTGTCAGTGAGTTGTTTGTGGATTTTGCAAGTTTATTCGGCATTCCAAAGCACTGCTCAGCTGAAAAGTTTAATTTGTTTTCTGTGTTTGTGAAAGACAAAAACCGTTTCAAATATGTTGGCAATCTTGGAAAAAACGGTGGAATACTACGTGGCGGTGACTTAGCAACCAGTTTACGGCCACATTTGCATCGAAGCATCAAGCAGTGCGTTGATCAGTACTTGACAGCAAACAAACATCCCTTCACAAGAAACATTACAGAGTTTACGACCAAAAAACTTGCTCAAATGGAAAGGCCTGAGGGAAAGCTTTTTAGCTGGCTTGACATGGGAATGTCTCAAATTCACTACGTTGATACTGACAAACTGTCAGCAAAACTTGGAGAATGTGTTGTTGACATGAGCCGACCTTACTTAAAGAACGTTGAATACCTCTACATCATTCATAAGGTATTTGTTTATTTTAAAAAGTGCAAAACAGCTTCAATAAAATAGGAATTTGTATTGCTTCTGATATGGGAATTTGGATTTATTCACAGTAAGAGTGGTTGTGTGCAGGGTGAATAGCACTATCCTTGTGATAAATCCTTATTCAGCAGATAAAATCCTTGCAGAACTATGGATTAGATAAATCCATCGTGCAACCAACCCTTTCCCTAATGAGGGATCAAGAGGGAAGGGTGGCTAGCCCCCACCCCCTCTCTTCCCCTTTTCTTTTTCAGGGTTTAAAAATATTAAGATGGAAAGTAAATAAGAGAAGTAAATAAAAGAAGAAATTTAAACTAAAGCACCCAATTGGATTTTTTTGCCTTGGGTTAGCAAACCTCATTTGTGATGTTCTGGATCTGCTACTGCTGCCCTCCATGTGGGTGAATACTTTTATTTATATGTTGAGGGTTCTGTATTATTAATGTCCTGTTCTTTTTATTTTGATAGAATTGTATGTCAGAAAAGCTACATTATTATGGCTCAACGCTGTACCAATGCTCATCGTGGATGGGCAAGGACATGGAGGCTATCGAGGCTCACATCAAAAATCTAACAAAACTTATACCTTGCATTGGCTATGATAATAATGAACCTCGAGCATTTGGTCTGTGTAAGGTAGCAATATCAAATGATGGATGCTTGAGTATTCCTGAATATGATGCACTTCTTATACCACCAAACCCATACGAGCAATTCAATGATGAATCGGTTTTTATTGCTGAAGGTAAATTTGAGAATTTAATAAAATATATGACATTCATGCAGCATATGATACAATGAAATCTTTTACCATTGGATTTGGCGTTCTTCCATGCAGGCGCCACAGTTATTCTCTCTCTTTTGGGTTCCCTGTGTATGCAATGTGAGAATAGGTCGAGAAAACTTATAGCATTAGGTTCTCTGGGAGAAAAAAGTGAAGAGGGAGAAAAATGGAGATCCTGAAATGAGCATGATCTTAGCCATTCCGCCCTCTCACCAGACATATTTCCTATACAGAATGGTACCTTGTATAGCATTCATTAGCGGAATTAATGGAAAATCTTTTTTTTTCGGGTGGTTAGCAGTTAAAAACGAGAATTTTTCTCATTAGTCATTTACAATTCAAGAAATATGAGTATTGCGCGCCCTTATTTATCCCATCATTCCATTCTCTCATCTCAGTAGGTATTTGGTTAATTTGCAGAGCTCGATTTTGACTTTGTCTGTGCGACTGTTCTCAATTTAAAGTCGATGAAAACAAAGCAAATCCTGCAATCAGCCTTGAAGGATATTTACGTTAACTTGGCTGTGTACGAGGAGCGCTGTGAAGTCCTGTCATTTCTACAGAAAGTCATTCGAAAGTTCCAGGTAATCAGATTATGCACTTGAAACCGATTGTATTCGAAGCTTTGGCCCCCCAACACCTGGTTTCGATTCTCTTTCGTTATTCTTGTTGCCGCAATACCTGCACAGCAGTGAGCCGCGGCCATATTTGACCAACCTTCCATTTGATGAACCTCTAATCCCTCTGCAGACGGAAGAGACTCAAGTTATCCAAATGGTCGACCGTTCGTTTGCTGTTCCTTGCATTCCATCATGTTTAAGTTCGCATCCTACAATCTTATCCCGTGTTTTGAGAGCTGCAGGAATCGTGATGACCGAAACGTCTTCACAGGATTCAGACGACGAGGAAAAAGATGAGCCACAGATCGTATTCCAGCCGTCTAATTGCCAAGACTATCTTAGGCTTATCGAGTATCTTCTGACAATACTAGTAGAAGGTAGACTGACTATTGATAGACTGATTCCCTAAGTTACAGTTTATGCTCCTCAAGGAAGTATACAGCTATTTCTCTCATCATTATTTCATCATTATTTCATATCATTTCGGAAACGTTGAATGATGAATACTGCATAGCGCCTTTAATTCCTGGACCGCAATGCATTATTGACATTAAGATCCACGTTAGCTACGTTACAAAATAACAATTCTAAACTTTATAGCTTTCCATCAAAGTTCTTGAAGGAGTTTTTGAATTGATCTAAGATAATGTTCCGTAATTAGGAAATTCAATATTTAAAGAGCTTATTTATTCCTTCCTTATATTAGAAGGAACGACCGTAAGTCATCTAATCAATCTGTACATATATTTCATTATTTTTAACAGTCTCGCTTAATTTCTGCTCATTCAACTTTCTATGCATCCATCTCATCTTCCATTCGGTTTCTAGCGCTAATTGTTATGTATCATTGCACAGGAGTAATCACAGATGCACAGTGTGAAAGTGCTACGCAGCTGTTGGAACACGAAGTGTCATCGTTACAAGAACTGGTATGATACGTTGATGATTTCTTTATTCCTTGTTTACTCTGTTAAGGAAAGTTGAAACCGTTGATGTACTTCATGAATATTGATGATATATACAGAAATATATGAAACTGGATCAAAAACTGTGGATTTGTGCTATTTTTTTGCTTTTTTTCCCAACAAAATAATGCGCAAGACCGTTAACATTTGCTTTTATTTCTTGTTGGGGCAGGTGTTTCAGTAATCAAATCAAATATTTTGATTGTATTTTAGTTTCATACCCAGATGTGCTGCATTTGCTCTCCGTGGAAGTCCATGAATCCGAAARAGGAACCAGTCGCCTCGCTATGGAAGAAGGGGTCGCGAACCAAGAAATTTCTCGAGAGCCTCGGCCTTAAAGAAGAAATCATAGACGATCAGAAGGTCGTGCGTTGTCCCGAGCACTCTCAACTTTTGAACGTTCTTTCGATATTTCATAATGATGTGGAATAAGTGGACAATCCTGCTTTTAAAGTAAGAATGAAATTGAAAGAAAGTAACGCGAACTAAGAAATTTCTCGAGAGCCTTCGCACATAAAAAGAAGTCCTTAGACGATCAAAAAGAAGTAATCTTGTCCACAACACTCTCAACTCATTGTTGTTCTTTTGATATTTTATAATTATATGAAGGAAACAGAAAGAGAAGAGTAAAAAAGAGAAAACAAGAAATGAAAGAAAAGATGAAAACGCAGAATGGAAGGGAAATCTTGATGCGGAAGAAAGAACGATGGGGAAAATGTGGGAAAAAATACAGAACTAATGAAGACAAAGAAAAGATGAAAGAAAGAATAAAAAATAAGCATAAGAGAGACATCAAAAACCAAGAATATAGCRGTGAATGGAAAAATATAAGAAACAGAACGAAAAGAAAGGTAAAACAAGCCATCATAATTAGAAACGCAGGGAAATATCACCTTATCGTATATATATTTTCCACAAACTCGTGTGATGCAGAATTGAATTTTAGTCTACAAAAAGACTTGTTCGATTAATATTTAAACATCCCGGCTTTGTAAGTATTTTTGCACATTTTTAAATACATAAATTTTAATKGAACGGGACTGATGTGGTTGTAATCAAWTTCACCTAGTGTTATGTTGTCATGAGAGCCATGTTTACAGCGTTATCACCACGTGGAGAAGGTTGTTATATCACGAATYTATCGCCATAAGTCGTTAAWCAGATAAATCAGAAACCGCAGTCTACCGCAGAACGAAGAGGCAGCCGTCATCTTAACTACATGATTCTGATATTCTCATTGGTTGTTCGATTGATCGTGCGAAAGTGCCTACTTAACCATACAAAGCCTTTTTTCCCATTTCGAAACAAAAGTCATAAGTTTCAAACCACGAGACAGCATACAATAGACGACTTTCTCATTTTTCCATAGTTTTTCATAGTAATGATCTTTTTTTTAATTTTTTTTTTTTTTATTGAGGATACTTTCATTAAAAAAAAGTGATCTGGGCAACACTTGCTAGGTATTTTTATAAACCTATGTTTTAATCCGCATCCCASAGTTCTTTTCGTGCTTGGGTACAGGTGTTTTTATTTCAAGTCATTAAAGTCGGTTTCCAAGGAAAACTGACTACGATTATAAATGAAGCTTCTCCTACGTCATTGATTATTAATTCCCTACCTTGCCTTGATGAAAAAAACACTTCATGGCCGACAGAGTTGATCGTGTAACTGGAGGCTTCGAGGTTGAGTTTCTCCAGCCTTTACCAGAAGAATACGAGTGCCCGATTTGTCAACTTGCATTTAGAGACCCTATACAAATAGAAGACTGCGGGCATCGTTTTTGCCAATCATGCCTTCAAGAGTTAAGACGAAGGTTTGTACACAAATATCCATATCGTTTCTATGCAATGGCTTGAAAATTTGAATTATATTTTCATTAAGAAATATTCCTGTGCTTCTCATAGAATTGACATCGGATATATTATAATAAGAACTTTTGTTTTAATCGAAAATAATTTCTCTCGTATTCCCACCAGTGATCGCATGGATACGATGCTACACCGGCCTACTGTTTTATCCRTATGCGATTGAACCGGCTAACTGGAACTCAAAAGCAATTTTTCTTATAAATAATTACTGGTTTTTGCGAAGAATATTATTTGCTTATWTGGTATTTCAGRCAGGGAAGCCCTGTTTTGTGTCCAATGGATCGAAAACCAATCGCTTCAACTAAGGTAAGCTTTCAATTAGACGCTAATTTTTCTTTTCAGATTTATAGATAGAATGTATTTTTTTAGTTATTAAGATTTTTCTATGGACTTATTTTCTTACTTAAAGTGATAGAGATATACGACGCTTCATCGAAATATATCGTTTTTGATAAATGATTTTTTTGAATGTCGCAAACATTACTTTATAATCAAAATAGAACCAAAAAAGAAACATTGCCTGTCAGTGTTTTTTTCGGCATGACAGCGACTCGGAGGCTATTATATATTAATAGATCACTTTGTATAATCTTGGGATAACAGCTGATGTCTTGTTTACCAACTTTGAATGATGAAAAAAAACTCATTTTGAATGAAATTTTTATCTCCTCGAATTACGATGAAAAACTGGGCAACTGAACAATTAGAGAATTGATGACAGCTAGCGTCTCAGTGATTGATTATCTTTTAAAGTGGAAAGATAGCTATAGGGAATAGTAAATAAAAGGTTAAACCTAAGTTATTTCAAATTAAGATTATAAGAAAAACGTATTCTTAGGCCAGCAYGTATGGTTATAAGTTATTTACTTAAGAATTCAGACTTCATCAAAAACTTTGYTCGTTTACTACTAGATGATGCTATTAATCATTATTATGATGATAGGTGATTATGATGATAATCCCACAGTGCAAATTCTAATGGAATTGAATTGTWAGATAAATAGTTATGAACTTAATTTAATGACAAACCATTATTTCTTATTTACTAAGTCTTGAAACAAATTTAAATATACAATAAATCAAATAAACTCAAGGAAAACAATGTAAATTAGTTTTAACTCCTTTGCATAGTAACCCAGGAACTTATCTAATAATAAAAAATAATAATTATAATTATAATAATATCTGATGAAACTTGATGAAAGTAAGAGCCGAACGAGAACATCGGAGTGAATTTGAAAAAAACACGAACTGACAGTTTAATAGAATGCAACACAGGGAAAACTAGAAAAGAATAAAAAGCATGCACAACACATTGAAAGGTTTTAAATTAAGTACATTATGCTAAAATGTATTTCACAGGTTTTTGAWAATCAAACTCTAAACCCATGAAATTGATTCAAGATCAAAATATCCTTGAATTATGGAATCTCATCTTTTCTTATTTTTTTTCTCTTTTTTTGTTCGCTCTTTTATAATATCCCACCTTGACTAGATTTTATTTCATTTCACTCAATAGTCATAACAATTAATCACTAMATAGTGCCAAACGTTGCCCACTTTTATTATTTGTAGTCCGTTTTTTATTTATTTTTTTCTGACCGAGATTAACGTTATACGTCATTCGTTTCCTGAAAATAATCCTGCTCTTCCTGAGTTAAAGTGAGGGAAATTGATGGCGACCAAACAGATATTGTAGTGCACTTTCCAATGCACTTCAGGGGGTATTTTCGCTTTTGATTAGCTCACTTCTGTGCGCGTTTTCTTTGATCATTGGAAATGCGGTTAGACGACCTAGACTACGTCAATTGACAAAAATACTTGGGAGGATTATAACAAAGAATTCGAGCAAATTCTGGTGAAAATTGTCACTCTGATGTCCTAGCAACGCTTTAAATTTCTGGTCAGATTTGTGATTAAATCAGTTTACTTATTGCAACACCAATACAGCGATATGCCAGGGCATGATGGGAATTTCAGTACCACACTTTGTTAGTTATAGCCTGCGTCGTTTCTGAAAAAAAAAACTATGTTTTACACGTATTTTGATTGATACTTCCCATCATRCTTTGTGATATAAATGGCGTGTTTGCACATTGCTGATTCTATGACTCGAAATTTAATAAACTTTGCGGCGCCTTTTCAAGTAAATACGGTAACTTCTATAATTCATTATTGGCATATTTTTATCAGGTGTTTTTGGATAAAGCTGCAAGACGAGCAATACTTAGTCTTGGCGTCAAATGTATCAACTGGAAGAGAAAGTGTGACTGGACTGGTGAACTAAGCTCCATCGAGGTGACAACCAACTATTAAAGCTTTTACACGAAATGATTTTTAGCAACGATTTTTATATTTTTAAATCAGTATTCTTTACTAAGAAGGTTTATCGCTCAAAGCTCGTTGTGCTTATGTATTCAAATTAGTTCTGCACGAAAACTTGAAAGTCTGTCTCGTGTAACAAGCATTTAACTTTTTAAAAATAACCGCATCGCGACTAAAAATTGTCTGGTTTGTGGTATGACTTCAGCTTAAAGCTAGAGGGTACTCCTAAACGTGTCTTGACTGGCTCGCTGACTCACTGACTGTTCAATCGATAAGGTTAACATTGATTGACATATGTTCCGATAATTGTTTACTTCAGGAACACACAAAGAACTGTGCTTACGAAGACGTCAACTGCACCAACCCAGAATGCAATGAGGTCATGTCAAGAAAGAGCCTGCAATATCATTTAGTCAGCAAATGTAAATGGAGAGTAGTATCATGTCATTTTTGTTCAGAAATGTATACGTATAAAGACGGAAAGGTGAGTAGAACTCCCATCTATGGCAGRTAAACCATAAAAACTTCACTCTTTAGATAGGTGTAATACAATAACTGTACGTAGATAGTCTCAAAGACGGACAGTCAGGGAGAACTTCAGGGAGACTGGTGCGCATTGCCTGAATATGTAATGGAATACAAGAATTGCTGATTGGTTAAGATTCAAATTAATTTGAGTTGATAAATAAATGGTTAACTTATACTATTAACGATTTTCTTTCTATTTTGAAGGTTCATATGAAAAGCTGTAAACGTCTCCCAATGGAATGTATCAATAAATGTGGTGCGAAAGACATCCCTAGGGAAGAGGTAATATTACTAACCCGTTTGCAACACGTGTCCTTTGAATAACCTGTCCATATAGTTTTGTAAGTTTACGTTGTGGCGCTTAACTCAATCAGTATCAACCTCGTTCCCAAGTCGATCTCACAAGCGAATGGGAACAAGGTTGCATTGCTCTACTTTAGGCTGAGTTTCATCGTAAACACCGTCGGTTATTTTAGGGAATAAACCGGATGTACGCAGGCTACTGTACTTTGACGAGGAGCTTTATCTGACTTCTTTTCAATCTCGTTCAGAACCTTCGTACCTGGAGAATCCCAGCCACAGAGTACGAGACTGACTATTCTTCGGCTGTTTTTCTCAAAATCATTTTGTGAATTCAAATTTACAGATGCCGTTTCACCTAGGGGAATGTCCACTTGCTGTTCATCCTTGTGTCTATAGGGATATTGGCTGTCCTTTCAAGGTAAAACTGTATTAGATTCAGGGGCGTATCTAGAATATTTTCATTGGGTTGCAGGCCGGGGGAAGAGGGGGGGTCCGTACTTTCACAGTTCTCAGTATAACGTAACATATTGTCAATTTGATGTCGTAAGTAGGTCTATTGTTTTAAATTWATCCAGTCGTGTCTCATGTTCAGTCTAAACAAATCTTCTCACAATGACTCAATGATAATATTTCTATTGTTTGGAAAGTGGTAAGGGGGTCTTGTGTACCATGTTACCTCCTCTAAATACGCTCCCAAGATTGTGTTAATTTTTTCAAATTTATATTATGTAAATACATGTGGTAAACTCCTTCATTTTAACTGCGTGCTTACTGCATTTGTTGGTTGTGAGGGTGGTGTAGATCAACCTAGTTCCCAGGCCCTTCGAAGGGATAAAGGGCCTAGAGACGAGGTCGTGGTGTAGATTTGAGGTCCACGCATATTGGTAAAAATAGTAAACTAATTTTGTCCAAGAATAGCTCATAAGCTTTGGAGCAGTCCATATATCTATAACTACATAACTAATTTTTAACTTTTTTTAGGGAAAGAGAGATGCTCTTGAGGAACACTACCGCTGTGCAGTACATACCCACTTGAATATGGCCTGTCATAAGATACGAGAGAATGAGAGCCGTAGTTTGTGTACGAACGGTACCTTCATATGGAAAATTACAAACTATAAACAACAATTTGAACAAGCTGTAGCAACTCCCGACGAACTTGCGATATTCAGCCCGCCATTTTATACTTCGCAGTACGGTTATAAACTCCGACTGAAAGCTTACCTCAACGGGCGTGACCGGGGCAAGGGATCGCACCTTTCTCTGTACATAATTATCATGAAAGGCGATTACGATGCTCTTCTCGAATGGCCTTTCAAACAAAAAATAACGTTTTATCTTATTGATCAAAGCGATCAAAGTAACCACAGAACTCATCAATTGAGCCCAAACCGGTCGTTACCGAACATTAAGGTCGTTTTTAACCGACCGACCGTAAAGGAGAACCTTGGAATTGGAAATCCTTGCTTTGTGCCCCATGAAGCATTGAGTACAGGTGACTATGTTAAAGACGATACTATCTTTATTAAAGCAGTCGTCGAGCCTGGAAAAACTGCATCTTGAATGGAGCTTGTATGATATRCGGAAGCGGTGTGTAGGGTTAGAAGTATCGCCTATGAGCAAAGCTCTTGCTCAATGGTAAAGCAAGATTATGAAGAAGAATKTAGATCCAACAAAKTAMATTTATTTTCTCGCCGAGTTGGTCAGATCAACTGACTGTTTGCGTTCAAGAAATGAGAYCAAATCACAGGTCCAACTTACGCAAAGAAAAACAAATTACCATAAGGATTTGTCAAACGTACACGAAGTATAAAGCAAAACGAGGCAAACTGTCGCTTTGTTGACAACATTTCCCAGCCTCACTTTGAATYTCGCACACAAAAAGACATAAGTAAAAAGAAATATGAAAAGCAATGAAAATACGAGACTCCAACACAACCGATCCACTTTTTAAGAAAAGGYATTGGAGCACAACAATTTACAAACTTGATGCGAACGAACCAGAAAGAACAATAAAAGTCGAATAATTAAAACAGTTAATTGAGATGAATCGCGCATTTCTCCTGAATTGTAAAGTTAACACTTCTGCCAACAACAACACTACATGTTGTTGGCATGGAATATATACCACGCGTTGAAGGTAGTTCAAAAATATGGAAATCTTAGACTTGTACACAGTCGTTACTCTTTTATATCTCCCCTGATGCGAGTGAAGGGACTGAGTACGAGGGGATCCATACACTGGATGTTTCAAATAATGTCAATCCCATAATAGACCTCTGCAGCTTTTACGTCATGTACCGTATACGCAATGCATTGTAGGACATGTTTGGGACAAAACATGGCGGATTTCTTTTGTTTTCTCTTGAAACTGATCCCACAATGCATTGAAAATCAAGTAGTGACGTAAAATGTTGAGAAGTCTATTCCATTTGAATATCGCACTGGTGATTTGTGGCGCGAAATGTTGGATAGCCACTTGGAAGCCGATTTTAAATAAGGATTTATGAGACTCAAGCAATACCTCTGCGTGTTTTTTTTTTCAGTGTCTTTCTTGCAGCGGCATTTTTGCTTTAGGTCACTGTATTTGTTTTTATTTTTTTAACACTGTCTAGCCACTGCAGCGAACGCGAACTTTGATGCTGCATCAATCTGCACGCAAATACGGTTATTGATCTTTGACTTCCAATTTCCTTTTCCGTCTATTCTTCGAAATAGGGCGKGGGAAGAGAGGGGTGGGGGTAAAATAAATGACTTCGGTTAGCGTTATGCGTATTTAAAAGAAAAACGCGCATCTATAAGGGATAGGCATTTTAAAAATCATTCTCCTATATAATSTACTGACTAATGGGTCAGCAATGTATCTTCAAGAAGAGTTGTGATCGTCATTTTTTCGGTTTTCTGAATTCAGTCCAGTGTAACCGTGTTTTCTCGTGACTGTTTCTTCSACTTGTACTACTCACTTGGCATATTTTCAGTTGGTTGAGAGATCAGGGGACGATAGTTCAGAAAATTCCTTGGCTTTTGTATCTTGAATGATATACTTACAGTATAATTGATAAGCAATTATGTATGTATGTAAAGTTATAAATTATCGCATTTCAAAAAATGCGAAGAGCCTAGTTTCCAAATYAAAACGCCACATGCTGGTACAATTTTGGTTCTAGCCAGCACTTAYTGACATGAATGTTCACATCAGATCAGTGGGTTGTAATTTGAACCTTATCAACATACAACAAAGTATTATATCATGGGTTCGTTGATGACAGCATTGAGACCCAGCGACATTTACTGAGGATCTTGAGAAGTAGAACTGCAACAGAAATACGTTAACTGGACAGAAACTACTCTTGAAATATTAATCCTGATCTTTTTAAAGGTACGTCTTGTACAATTCTTGTCAGGTGCACACGGCGATGAAGATTTCCGCATCCTAACACTTTTCTCTAACATTTTCTGGAAGACAAAAACTTACTGTGTGCGAGAGCTCAATTGGTTCAATTCATCCCCATTCAATACGCTTTTAGCCTGTACATGGTCACAATGCTCGAGTGAAGTCTTGCCCACCCGTGTGTGTCGATCTCTAGGCTTATAGCTTATATCTCCATGCAGTTTGCCCCGCTGTTAACAAATGGAACTTAAAGGCCGATTCGACGGTACAACTTTTGCCTA